TATTCAGCCTCAGCAAGAAAGGACACTCTGGCACATGCTACACACAGATGAACCTTGAGGCCACTACACTAAATGAAATAGCTCATCACAAAAGGACACATACTGCATGATTCCACACACATGTGATACCCAGAGGAGTCACACTCATAGAAACAGAAAGTTGGATGGCGGCTGCCAGGGCCTGGGGTAGGGAGGGATGGGAGTCAGTGTTGAATGGGGACTGAGTTTCAGTGTGGGATGATGAAAAAGCTCTAGATGTCTGTTTCGTAACAATGTGGATATACTTACACTACTGAACTATACGCTTACCATGGTTAAGTCCAGGCGCAGTGGCTCAGGCCTGTAATCCCAGCACTTTGGGAGGCTGAGGCAGGTGAATCATCTGAGGTCAGGAGTCGGAGACCAGCCTGGCCAACATGGTGAAACCCCATCTCTATAAAAATACAAAAATTAGCTGGGCGTGGTGGCAGGCACCTATAATCCAGGCTACTCGGGAGGCTGAGGCAGGAGAATCGCTTCAACCCGGGAGGTGGAGGTTGCAGTCAGCCAAGATGGTGCCACTGCACTCCAGCCTCAAAAAACAAAGGAAACATGGTTAAGATAGCAAAAGAAAAATTGTGTCGCTTGATCATAGATCTAAAGCTTCCAGAGGAAGCCATAGAGGAGTATCTCTGTGGCTGTGCTGTCAGGGCAAGGAAACACTGAGAAGACGTAGAAAAACTGAGGTGCTTGGGGGCCCCAGGAGGTACCAGGAAGACCCATGTGGAAGGAGGACTCCACGGGGAAGGTGTGTTTGAGGCTCACTAGATATGATCTTGCCTGCTGCTAAGTCTGCAGGTTTGCCTGGGCTGGGCTGGTCTGCAGCTGCTGCTGCTGGGGTGCAGGTGCTGTAGAACTGGGACACCACTGGCCAGGCATGCAGCGAGTCTGGGTGCAGGCAGAGGCTTGGAGCACATGGAATTCCAGATCAAGAGGGCATGGAAAGATAGTCACCAGCCAGGGTCGAAAGGAGATGCGCACTTGGGATTCATGGCCAGCACCAGGCTCCATCACCCCACACCACGGACCCACCCTGCAGCTATGGGAGTCTGCAGAAGAACCCCTTTCTCCTGCGGTGCTCCCAGCGCCCTCTATTGGGAAAGGCAGGCACTGCACCTGCTGGGAAGAAGAAATGTTATCTCAGAGCAGGAACTGAGTGGTGACTTGGAGCTCAGAGGTAGTGAACTGATACAGTGACTTTAGGGAAAAAAGAGACCTCATGGACAGGAGGCCAAAAGAAATAACCATAAAATGTGGTGAATTGGACTTCAAAAATTTAAAACTTCTGCTTATCAAGAGATACTTTTATTTTTTGAGACGGAGTCTTGCACTGCTGCCCAGGCTGGAGTGCAGGGGCACTATCTGTGCTCACCACAACCTCCACCTCCTGGGTTCAAGTGATTCTCCTGCCTCAGCCTCCTGAGCAGCTGGGATTACAGGCACCTGCCACCATACCCAGCTAATTTTTTGTATTTTTAATAGAGACGGGGTTTCACCATGTTAGCCAGGCTGGTCTTCAACTCCTAACCTCGAGATTCGCCCACCTCAGCCTCCCAAAGTGCTGGAATTACAGGCATAAGCCAACGCACCTGGCCTCAAAAGACACTATTAAGAAAATAATAGACAAGATCTAGAACTCAAAAAAATGTTTCCAACTTATCTGAAAAAGAACATGTACCCAGGCCAGGCGTGTTGGCTCACACCTGTAATCCCAGCACTTTGGGAACCCAAGGAGGACAGATCACCTGAAGTCAGGAGTTCTAAACCAGCCTGGCCTACATAGTGAAACCCCTTCTCTACTAAAAACACAAAAATTAGCCAGGCCTGGTGGTGCATGCCTGTAGTCCCAGCTACTTGGGAGGCTGAGGCAGAAGAATTGCTTGAACCCGGGAGACAGAGGTTGCAGTGAGCCTAGATTGTATCACTTCCCTCCAACCTGGGCAACAAAGCAACACTCTGTCTCAAAAGAAAAAAAGAAAGAAACATTATGGGGTACCATGCTGGCCTTTGATTGGCTATCTCCAGGCTCTTTTCACGCGAGAGAAAACACGTCCTAATTAGCAAAGCCTTTGAATTTTCAATCTCTGTACTAGTAACGGGACTGCTTCATAACCTCTCCAAAACATTACTATCATTGGCTTTTTAGCATATTACGATGATATAAATTATTTATAGGTGTCAAATGGGGCTTAATTCTTTTTCAATCTGCATATTTTGAGAGACATTATAGGCAGAAGAAATAACACAAGCAAAGTTGTACAAGCTGGGAGAGACAGGCATTTTCAGGGACTCATCAGTAACTTCCCGCAGTGTTTGCCGGTCTGCTCTCATCTTACTAAGAGAAAGAAGGTGATGTCATATTGTGGAGACCGTTGCTATCAGGTGAGACACAAATTCCATCCCCATCACGGGGAACCATGGGGGCAGGTGGAGACAACCTGTGTTTCCATCTCCCTCCTTCTCTCTCATTTCTTCCATCCCTCCCTCTGTCTCCCTTCCTCCTTCTCTTCCTGGCTCCCCTTGCCCTCCCTGCCTCTCTCCCTGCAGTTGCAATATGAGCGTTCTCAGGGAGTGCCCTGTCCAGGACGGAGCAACTCGCTGGGGAACATGGACGGGTTGCACAGCCTGGAGAAGTAGCTGGGAAACCGACACCCTCCAGAGCAGGCGAGCCCAGCCCTGTTGGCACTCTGTGAAAGGCCATTTCTGTGTTTCCTGTGTTTAGACCGAGACATGCCATCCCTGCCTGATAAATGCCCCTTTGTGCTGGAAAGGGTTCTCATCAACACATAAAATGCTCTCAGCCAGACCCAACTGTATGTGGCCCTGGGCTCTGCCCGGCAACAGACCTGCTGGGGCTGGGCCCCCTGCCAGCCTAGATGCCATCAGAGCCAGAGACAGGAAATGTGGCATTCTGGGGAGCCGCCCTGGAGGCTGCGTGGCTTTTGCACAGCACAGGCAACATCCACAGGCAGGACAGGCAGCCACACCAGAGCGAGGCCCCAGGTCACATGCTGAGGCCTGGCTCGTGGCCAGACCTGCCTTGAATGTGGAACTGGGAACTGAGGAATCAGGCGACTCTGTGCCTTGGGATCCACTTCCTGAGCAGCAGGGTCCACAGGATGAATCCCTGTGGCAGGCCAGCCCCACCCCGTGCCCAGCCATGAGGACACACCTCACATCCTACCTGTTTTTCTTTTCTTTTTTTTTTTGAGACACTCTGAGTCTTGCTCTGTCACCCAGGCTGGAGTGCAATGACTTGATCTCAGCTTACTGCAACCTCTGCCTCCTGGGTTCAAGTGATTCTCCTGCCTCAGCCTCCCGAGTAGCTGGGATTACAGGTGCCCCCCACCATGCCCAGCTAATTTTTGTATTTTTAGTATAGAGGGGGTCTCACCATGTTGGCCAGGCTGGTCTCAAACTCCTGATCACAGGTGATCTGCCCACCTCAGCCTCCCAAAGTGCTGGGATTATAGGTGTGAGCCACCACGCCAGCCCCTACCTGTTCTCGACAGGAACCAGGGGGTCCCAGGGGCCGTCCCCTGCACAGTGCTGATTCCCTGGCAGCCCCCTTCTCCCAGAACTCCATGACCATTTCCTTGGACTAACATATTTCAGCTTCCAAATCTTTCCTATAGGCCTCAGTTGAAACGTAGGAATGGAACCAGAGGTTTGCTGCCAAAGCAAGATTCCATGGAAATATGGAAGGAGAAGGGGCTGTGGAGATCAGCATTGACTGTGCAGCACAGATGACCTTCAGATCAGACAGACAGTGGTCGGGGCAGAGGGCAGAGGGCAGAGGGCAAAGGGCAGAGGGCAAAGGGCATGGTGAAAGTTAAGCTCCCCTGCCTGTTGTCTGCAATTGCATTCTCTGCAAATAAGGTCATCTGGGACCCCTGCTTTTCAAGGTTATTGTCCCTGATTATGTATGCTTTTTTTTTTTTTTTTTTTCTTGAGACAGAGTCTCACTCTGTTATCCAGGCTGGAGGACAGTGGTGAGATCTCCACCCACTGCAACCTACAATCCAGATTTAAGCAATTCTCCTGCCTCAGCCTCCCAAGTAGCTGGGATTGCAGGCATGCACCACCACACTGGCTAATTTTGTATTTTTAGTAGAGATGGGGTGTTGTCATGTTGGCCAGGCTGTTCTCTAACTCCTGACGTCAAGTGATCCGCCTGCCTCGGCCTCCCAAAGTGCTGGGATTACAGGTGTGACCCACTGTGTCTGGCCCCCGATGACATAGCCTTGACCAAAATGAAGGTGACACTCGCTTACTTCCTGGCCTGAATGTGCTCACCAACCCTCTATTTGACCTGGTGAGGACATCCCCAGCCTGACCACAATGATCCCCACTCACATGAAAACATGTGGGCCGACTCGGGCTGGGACAGAGTCCTCTGTAGGCCTCTTCCTTTCACGGATTTATGCAAGGAAAGTAACTAAAAATGCTGTGTTTACAGTGTGTTTGTTTCCAGCATGCCATACTGATGACTCCTGACTTTTCCAGAGCAGAGGGACACCTGCCTCATGCTGAGGAACACTGGGAGGGTTTGTGTGAGGCACTGAGCCCTGGGCTTGCAGCAGGCAGCTGCTCAGAAGTGGGCCCTCCCTACCCATGCCCTTGCGCCAGTCCTCAGCGTGGCCCACATCCCTGCCTCAGCGCTGCCAAGGACCGCCATGCCCAGTGGCTTGGAATAGGGTTGCTCGTCTGGCAGCACCAGCCCCTCCGGACTGGGTCCAGTGAGCTGTGCTCTCCCGGGGTTCTGATGCATGTCCAAGTTTGAAAACTGCAGGCCCAACCAGAAGCAGGACCAGACGAGAGCCTCTATTCTGGGAGTGATGGTGTTCTACTTGTGTGAATGCATGCTTAGAAGTCGCAGGCTGACCCCTGTCCCCTCCCGCCACAGCACAGGGAGGGAGTGGGGACAGTAGGCATCCACGGCCTGAGCCTGAAGCCCCCGCGCCACCATGGGCTCTTACGACATTCACAGAGGTCTCCCCCAAGGAAGCTAAGGGCAGCCTTGGGTCTGAGGTGGGCTGAGATTCCCTAAGCAGGACAGGAAAGGGCTTTGCCTTGGCTGCAAGGTAGCTCCTGGGACCCAGCCACAGTAGGCAGAGGGTGCAGTGTGGAATCAGGCAACCAGGGTTTGAATCTCAGCTTTCAGAGCCCCACCCGTAGAAAGGACATAACAACCCCATGATGAGATCATGCGAGCCCACCTGGGCCACAGTGTGTGCAGCAATGACTGCAATCGAAACCCACCCAATGTCCCATAGAAAGGCTTGCTTTTCTTTTCTTTTAAGATGGAGTCTCCCTCTGTTGCTGAGTCTGGAATGTGATGGTGAGTTCTTGGCTCACTGTATTAATATTAATTTTTTCTCAAGGCGGGATAAAAAGCCAGTCCCTCAGGTTCTGGGAACTCAACTACAACACTAAACACATGGATCTTTCCAACACCTGCCTGGTCACACAGCTGGACCGGAGCCCTGTCGCTGATGACAATAACCTCAACTCCATTTTCTATGAGCACTTGACGCGTTCTGCAGCACACGCTTTGTGGGGACCTGGTGCTGGGCCGCTGGGGCAACTATGGCCCTGGCGATGCTTCGTCTTGGCCTCCAACTACCTCAACGCCCTAGTACACCTCATCGAGGTTGGCAGTGGCCTTGTCACCTTCCAGCTGTGTGGCCTTGAGTTCTGGGGCACTTACTGCCAGCAGTGAGAGGTGGAGGCCATCACGGAGGGTGTGGAGGAAGACGAGGGCTGTTGCTGCTGCGAGCCCAGCCACCTGCCTCGGGTCCTGTCCTTCAGTGCTGCCTCTGGGCAGCGCTGGCTGGCCTGGGAGGTGACAGCCAGCAAATACGTGCTGGAGGGCTACAGCATTAGTGACAACAATGCTGCCTCCATGCTGCAGGTTTTCGACCTCCGCAAGATCCTCATCACCTGCTTCGTGAAAAGCATCATCTACTACGTGAGCTGCTCACCAAAGCTGGAGGCGTGGCTCAGCCATGAGGGTATCTCGGCAGCCCTGCGGCCTGTGCATGCGCCCGGCTATGCCGACTCAGATCCCACCCTCTCACTGAGTGTGGACGAGGACTATGACCTGCGCCTGTCTGGCCTCTCGCTGCCCTCCTTCTGCGTGGCGCACTTCGAGTGGATCCAGTACTGCGCCTCCTGGCGCAGCCAGCCTGTGGAGCAGGACTGGAACTCCCCGCTGGTCACGCTGTGTTTTGGCCTGTGTGTGCTGGGCCGACGGGCCCTAGGGACGGCGTCTCACAGCATGTCTGCAAGCCTGGAGCCCTTCCTCTACGGCCTACACGCCCTGTTCAAGGGGGACTTTCTCATCATCTCTGCACGTGATGAGTGGGTCTTTGCTGACATGGACCTGCTTCACCGCGTTGTGGCACCTGGGGTTCGCATGGCCCTCAAGCTTCACCAGGACCACGTCACGTCCCCAGATGAATATGAGGAGCCGGCAGCCCTATACGATACCATTGCAGCCAACGAGGAGCGGCTGGTCATCTCGCATGAGGGTGACCTGGCCTGGCGCAAAGCCATCCTCAGCAACACACCCTCCTTGCTGGCTCTGCGCCATGTCCTGGATGATGCCTCGGATGAGTACAAAATCACCATGCTCAACCGGCGCCACCTCAGCTTCCGAGTCATCAAGGTGAACCGGGAGCGCGTTGGTGGCCAGTGGGCTGGGCAGCAGCAGGAGCTGGTGTTCCTGCGCAACCGAAACCCCGAGCGTGGCAGCATCCAGAATGCCAAGCAGGCGCTTCCAAACATGATTCACTCCTCCTGCGACCAGCTGTTGGGCTACCCCATCTATGCGTCGCCTCTTACCACCTCACTGGCTGGCAGCCACGCCCAGCTGCGGGCGCTATGGGGTGGCCCCATCAGCCTGGGTGCCACTGCCCGCTGGCTCCTGCGCAGCTGGGAGAGGCTTCACAAGGGCTGTGGCGCTGGCTGCAATAGTGGCGGGAACATGGATAACTCAGACTGTAGTGGGGGCGGTGGCCTGACCTCCCTCAGCAATAACCCCCCTGTTGCACACCCCACGCCTGAGAACACAGCAGGCAGTGGTGACCAACCCCTCCCACCAGGCCCTGGCTGGGGGCCTCGGCCCTCCCTGAGTGGCTCTGGTGATGGGCGCTCCCTCCTCTGCTGCAGTGGCCACCTCCCCGGCTCCCTGGACGCCCTCCCCCCGGCATCACCTACCCCCACAGAGGGTCCCTGGACCTCATGGCCCCCTGGTCCTGGTCTCCTCGGTTCTGAGGGTCCTAGTGGGAAGTGAAGCCTGGGGGGGCAGAAGGGACTGGGAGGATCCGATGGGGAGCCAGCCTCAGGGAGCCCCAAAGGAGGTACCCCCAAATCTCAGGCGCCTCTAGACCTCAGCCTCAGCCTTAGTCCGGATGTCAGCACTGAGGCCTCGCTCCCCCAGAGTTCCCAGGACATACCTTGCTTGGACAGCAGTGCCCCTGAGAGTGGCACACCTACAGGCACCCCCGGGCGACTGGCCTGCCTATGCCAAGGAGCGGGAGAGCCTGGCAGCCCAGCCCCTGCTGGAACACCAGTACTGAGCCACCTGGCACCCACTGGACCTCCTGTTAGGACTCAGTAGTGGACCTGCTCTGCTGCCTCTGGCCCTCTCTGCTGGACCACAGAATTGAGTGGCTTTGACCTCCATGTCTGAACCCTGACCTCTGGCTGCCTTGGCCAGAGAACCAAAACTGAATGACCCATACCTGTGACCTTGACCCCTGATCTCTCATCCCCAGTCCGGGACCTGGGCTCCCCAGATAGAGGCAGGCAGCCTCCCAGCCAGGCCCTAAGAGCCAAACCATGGGCTGGTCCCACTTGGAGCCCATGGCCAGTACCACCTCAGCCCCTGGGCCTGCACTGCCTGCAGGAGTGGCCCCCTTGGCCTGGACCTGGGGCCTGAAGTGTGAGAAGGGTGGTTTCTTGGTTTCCTTCTTTCCTTTATTTATTTATTTATTTTTTGTGCTTCAGAGACATCAGAATTAATAACACTATTTTTGATTTTGGAAAAAAAACCCACATATTCTTGTCCATTACACATAGAAAGGAACAACCAGTACTAGCCTTTCCAAAAATATACCAAAAAGTAAAAAGCATCAATATAATGAAGAATTTACATCAACTAATGGGCAAAACAGCCAGCTAACATCAAATGGCAGTAATCCTAAATTTAAATTGACAAAATCCCCCAATCAAAAGATACAGCCAAAACCCAACGGTATGCTGCATCCAGACCCATTTCACATGCAAGGATACACAAAGACTCAAAACAAAGGGATGGAGAACGATTTACCAACCAAATGCAGAGCAAAAATAAATAAATGAGTAAAAAGCAGGAGTTGCAATTTTTGCCTCTGTTAAAATAGATTTTAAAGCAACAAAGATATAATGGTAAAAGGATCAATGCAACAATAAGAGCTAATGATCCTAAATATATATGCACCAAGTACAGGAACACCCAGATACGTAAAACCTATAAGAGACTTAGACTCCCACACAATAATAGTGGGAGACTTCAACATCAATATTAGATAGATCAATGAGACAGAAAATCAATAAGGATATCCAGGACTTGAACTCAGATCGGAACAAGTAAACTTAATAAACATTTATAGAATTCTCCACTTCAAATACACAAATTATACACTCTTATCAGTACACATCACACCTACTCACAGGTTTAAATGAAATATTGGTTGGCCATTATTAAGCACAATTATTGGCATAAAAGAGGTTTTTAGAATTTTTAGAATAAAGCAACACTCCCATTCTCTCTCCCTCTTCCTCTTTCATTCCTTTTTTTCTTTTATCTTTCTTCAAAAAAAAAAATAATAATAAATAAATTCTTTTGACTAGGTTTTCCAAATACAAAAGTACTTATTTTATGCTCTGCCATCTTCAATGTATTTGTTCTAATAATCCTGGAGCTATTTTACTAAGAATTTTGGACAATGCTAGCAAGACATTCAAGTTGAAATTCCAAAAAAATCTATTTAAAAAAAAAAAAAGAGCTGGATCAAGAGCCACAAACAGTGTCATCATTTTATCTCTTTCTCCACCTTCCTCCTAAACTCTGCTATCCTTAGTATTGACTTCATTGTCAAGCTTCTATGTCCCCCTGTAGCAACAAGGACGATCCTTAGGAGCTTCACACATAGTCTTCCAGCTTAGCATGATTGCAGAGAGTGTTTGTTTCACAATTATACCACCAGCCGGCTGTGGTGGCTCCTGCCTATAATCCCAGCACTTTGGGAGACTGAGGCGGGCAGATCACCTAAGGTCAGGAGTTTGAGACCAGCCTGACCAACATGGAGAAACCCTGTCTCTACTAAACATACAAAAATTAGCTGGGTGGCACATGTGGTGGTACATGCCTATAATCCCAGCTACATAGGAGACTGAGGCAGGAGAATCACTTGAACCAAGGAGGTGGAGGTTGAAGAGAGCTGAGCATCAAGGGGAAAAAAAAAGGGCCAGGAGCGGTGGCTCACGCCTGTAATCCCAGCACTTTGGGAGGCTGAGGCGGGTGGATCATGAGGTCAAGACATCGAGACCATCCTGGTCAACGAGGTGAAACCCCATATCTACTAAAAATACAAAAATTAGCCGGGCATGGTGGTGCGCGCCTGTAGTTCCAGCTACTCGGGAAGCTGAGGCAGGAGAATTGCTTGAACCCAGAAGGCGGAGGTTGCGGTGAGCCGAGATCGTGCCATTGCACTCCAGTCTGGGTAACAACAGCAAAACTCCGTTTCAAAAATAAAAAAGGCCGAGCCCCGCCCGCGCGGCCTCCGAAACCCGGCTGCTCGCCCCGACCTTCTGCGCCGGCCGCCGCGGCTGCCCTCGCCGCGCCCCCACGCCCCTGTCGCCGACCTCTCGCCCCGGCCCGGGGAGGGGCTCCCACAACCCCGCGCTTGGCGGGGGGCGCCAGGGACTCCCGGGTCCCCTACCCCGCACCGTCTCGCCCTCCTCCCTCTTTCTTCGGGCAGCCTCCCCCCGCCACCCGCCACACTTCACCCTCCCCCACTTTTGCCGCCTCCATATCCTCAAGCTCCGGTGGCGCTGGGGGGCTTCTCAAATTGGCAGGATGTACCCCCCAGGGAAGGCACCCGACCCCGCTCCAGTCCGGCCAGCCCTTCAAGTTCTCCATCTTGGAGATCTGCGACCGCATCAAAGAAGAATTCCAGTTTCTCCAGGCTCAGTACCACAGCCTCAAGCTAGAATGTGAGAAGCTGGCCAGCGAGAAGACGGAAATGCAGAGACATTAATTATGTGATGTATTGTGAGATATCTTACCGGCTCAACATTGAAATGCATAAGCAGCCGGAGATTGCGAAGCGCCTGAGTGGTATCTGCGCTCAGATTATCCCCTTCCTGACCCAGAAGCATCAGCAGCAGGTGCTCCAGGCTGTAGAGCGCACCAAACAGGTCACAGTCGGGGAGCTCCATTTGGGACCTGGCAGCGCCCACTCCCCGTATCAAGGCCGAGCTGACCTCCTCGGCCCCAGCCTGCTACGCCCTGGCCGTCAGCCCCGACGCGAAGGTTTGCTTCTCCTGCTGCAGCAATGGCAACATTGTGGTCTGGGACCTGCAGAACCAGACGATGGTCAGGCAGTTCCAGGGCCACACTGACGGCGCCAGCTGTATTGACATTTCTGATTATGGCACTCAGCTCTGGACAGGGGGCCTGGACAACACGGTGCGCTGCTGGGACCTGTGGGAGGGCCGCCAGCTGTAGCAGCACGACTTCAGCTCCCAGATTTTCTCCCTGGGCCACTGCCCTAACCAGAACTGGCTGGTGGTCGGAATGGAGAGCAGCAACTTGGAGTTCCTGGATGTTCGCAAGCCGGAGAAATACCAGCTGCACCTCCATGAGAGCTGCGTCCTGTCCCTCGAGTTCGCCTCCTGTAGATAATAGTTTGTGAGCACAGGGAAGGACAACTTGCTCAACACCTGGAGGACACCGTACAGGGCCAGCATTTTCCAGTCTAAGGAATCGTCCTCCGTCCTGGGCTGTGACATCTCCAGGAATAACAAATACATCGTGACAGGCTTGGGGGACAAGAAGGCCACCGCGTATGAGGTGGTCTACTGAGACTCCCCCCACCTCCCCCCCGCCACGTTCCTGCATCCCAAGTCCAGACTCCTGGGGAAGCAGCTCCAGGACTGGGAAAAAAATTTTTTTCAAATGAGTCTCCTGCCTCAGCCTCCTGAGTAGCTGGGACTAGAGGTGCCCATCACCACACCTGGCTAATTTTTTTTTTTTTTTTTAGTAGAGACATATTTTTTAAAAAAGGATAGAAATGGACACTTCTAGTCTTAAAGCTTGAAATATGTTTTATCTGTGTTCCTTCCTTGGGGAAGGACCCCCCAGGCTTCTCAAGAAAAGTATCAAAAGAACTGAAACTCAGATGCCTGACTCCTGATTTACCAGGATCCTTTCTTCCCCTCTCTAGTTCCTGTTTTTTACACATTTTGCATTTCTTTCCTGCTCTACAAACCTCCAGTTTTAGTCAGGAGATGGATTTGAGACTGAGCTCCCATGTCCTCAGCTGCAGCACCTGATCAAAGCTTCTTCCTTGGCCACACTCGTCTCATTGACTAGCTCTGTGTGCGGTGAGAAGCAGGACCCGAACAGAGCCCCTGGTGTTTCGCTAACACTATTTCCATACTCAGCCTCTCGGTGGTGGTGGTGGTGTCATCACTTTCTCTCTCTCTCTCTCTCTCTCTCTCTCTATATATATATATATATATATTGAGATGGTGTCTTGCTTTGTCACCCAGGCTGGAGTGCAGTGGTGCGATCTCAGCTCACGGCAACCCCCGCCTCCTGGGTTCAAGCGATTCTCCTGCCTTAGCCTCCCAAGTAGCTGGGATTACAAGTGCCTGCTACCACACCTGGTTAATTTTTGTATATTTAGCAGAGATGGGATTTCGCTATGTTGGCCAGGCTGGTCTCTTAACTTCTGACCTCAAGCGATCCGCCCACCTTGGGCTCCCAAAGTGCTCGGATTACAGATGTGAGCCACCGTGCCCAGTTTTCAAATTCTTTAGGAAAACAGCCATAGAACCCAGAGCTCTGGACACTCCAATGGCCTGGGATGGGTGGGAAAACGTCTTGGAGGCTGTCAGGTGCTAATGGAGGAAAACAGCTCCCGTTCAGCTCTCTGAATCTCCTGGGACATGGGGTGCCCTGGGAGGGGACTGAGGGTGTGAAGGGGAAGCCTGTGGGCCCAAATGGACCCAGTGAGGGGGCATGTGTCTGCAGAGAGCATGCCCTCGGGGCATCTGGGGGCTTCTCAGAGGAGGCACCCCAGACTTGGAGAAGAAGGACTTTGGTCCTGGGCAGAGGAGGTAGAAGAGACAGGACCTGCTGGCGAGGTGTGCAAACCACACCCCATCTGATGCGAGCTCATATTGGCCCGTTAGTGGCTGTGCACTGAGCCCTGGGCCAGGCACCAGGCTTTGAAACCCAGTTGACTAAGGAGATGTCACCTTGTTGTAGCCCCAGGGTTGGGCCTTTAGCCCAGCCGGCTCCCTGGATGGGCCAAGGCCAGCAGATGAGGCTGAGCTCGGAGCTTGACCTGGGCTCTTGGGAGAGGAAGGGGGAGGGAGGTACCCAGACTGGATCTGACTCGCAGGTGGATGTCTGTTTGCCAAACCACAGACCACCTGCCCCGCCAGAGGCCCATCCTTGCTCCCACGCTCTCTGGCCCCATGGCTTTGTGGCCTGCGTCAGCGGTCGATGTCAAGACCAAGAATAAGAAGCCCAGGTGGCCCCTGTCATTAGTGGTTTGCTGGGCATGGGCTGGGCCAAGCAGGCTGGACAGAGGGACGCCTGGGCACAATACCTGGAGGCTGGACAAAGAGGACGTGGCCAGGTCATGCCCTGGGCAACCACTTGGGTGGTGGGGAGACGGTCGGCAGCACCTGGGGGCTGCTGTTGGAGACAGACGTTGGAAATAGATGGTCGGTGCTGCGAAGAAAAATCAGCACTGAGACAGGATCT